GTCAGCAGGAGAGGACATGGCAGGGGGTGGCCAGACCTTGTCCTGACGGGTCTAATTTGGCTCTGGCTTTCCCTCCGGTGCCTAAGTCTACCACCTTTGCCCTTTGCCCTTTGCCCCCTGTCAATGAGTACTGGTGGTTCTAGGTTAGGATTGCCTGAGGAGCACACATATGGGATGGGGGTGAGGAGTACAGCCTAATGTGGCCTAAGGAAAGGAGGCAGAAAAGAGGACAGCACACATGGGAGAAATGAGAACATTCTTTCCCGATGTGAAGACAAAGCCATGTGTCCTGTTCCAGTCAGGTCCAGTAGCTCTGCAGTGGCACCAGCAGCCCTCCAATATAGCAGGCTCGGGCCAGAAAAGGAGACCTGGACTCATTCCCCAGAAAGTTCAGTATGAGGGAGACACAGCTTCTTCTCAGGGAGCCCCAGTCTGAGGGCCAGGCCGTCCAGACCCCCTATCTTGAGGGATGGTCTCCGTGGGCCTCTTCAGAGGCTCCCATCTCACTGGATTCCTGTAAACCGAGGTGGGAAGTCCCAGGGGCTGAAGTACTTTTTAATCACCTACTTTCTATAGGTGACTCAACCATAGGAAAATCACAGCTCTGGAGTGAGCCCAGTGAGTCTGAGATGCAAACCGAAAGGGACAGTTAATGAGGGAGGATCTATTGACACAGTCTGGGAGGCTGTTGGGCCTTGTTCAGCTGCTCACCACAACCACTGGAACATTGCCAGAAGCAGTGAGGTGAGCAGTGCTCTAGACTAGAGGACACCCAGTCCACAAGAGGCCCCACTGCAGGGCTGGCTCAGGATTCAGGCAGGAGCTCTGCACAAACACAAGAGTCCAGCCATGTGGCCTGGTGGGCGGGCTTCTGGTCAAGCCTATGGGAACACACTCAGGGAGACTCATGCAAGACCCCTCTCAAGCCTATGGGAACACACGCAGGGAGACTCGTGCAAGACTTCTCTCAGTCCAGATTTTGCTCTGGTGAGCCACACCTGACTCTCTCAGAGCTGCCATCACACTCTGGTCTGAGTTGGGTATTTGTGGGTGGTTTGAACCCTGAAGCCTCAAGAAAAGGTTTCACCTGGAGCAGAATGGACCTGGCTCTGGAGAAAATAGAAGGGAGGTTGGGAGTGTGCCTCAACTGGGAGAGTGTTTTCCTAACATGCATGGTCCCATGGGTTCGATCCCCAGCAGGATTCATAAACTGGACACGGTGGTAAAAATACCTGTGAGCCCAGAAGTGGGGAGATGAAGGCAGAAGGATCAGAAGTTTAAGGCCATTGATGATGGTAACCTTCCTGGATACATGAGACCCTCAAGTGGGCAGCCGGGACAAGAGGAGAGGAAGGGAGAGAGAAGAACAGAGTCCAAAACTTCCAGTTTTCTTAGCAGAAAGTAGGGGGACAACATACAGGGGACTCTAGACCTGTGCCTTTCCCCAGGGAGAGAGAGGAAGACACTTCTCTAAGATGAAAGGGACCTTTGAACCCATCTGGAAACAAAGCTCTGGGCAGGGAAGGGGTTGTCTAAGGTCAGAAACAGGATTGGGTTTGCTGCCGGAGTCCTCTGGCTCCCTCCCTTTGCTTGACCCTCCACCCTGGCACCTGAACCCTGGGCTCTGGGCCAGGCTAAAACCTGTAAGGAGACATGCTGTTCTGAGCTTCTCTAGTGGGGTGGGGTGGGGCGGGATGGGGTGGGGTGGCCATGAGGTGGCTAATAGACTCTGCCCGAGGTGGACACATTTCATCACCAGAAGGCCTGGCCAGGGCTGGCAGCTGCTGCAGTCCAGGAGAAAGTGTACTTTGCAAACCTTGAATGAGATCCCCATCCTGCTCTTAGATAAGTCTCTAGGATACTCTATCCTGGCCAGCAGGATGAAAAGGGCCCGCACTACCTCTCTCCCACTTAGAGCTGACATCCAGGTATGAATGGGGGCTCCACCTGGATGTCCCCACTGTCCCCACCTGTGATAGTATTCATAGGTGATCAAAAAATCATATTACAGGTTATCTAGTTGGACATTAAGTACCCAGTAACTCAGTGAGATGGCTTAATGTTATTGCCATTGTTTTAAAGGATTAAAACAACTGGGGCCTGAGAATGACAATCACCAGCCCAGGTGTCACAGCCAGCACCTGATAGAGCTGAGAATATTCTGCTCCCAATCCCTGCTTTTCACTGCTAAGGACCCAGCTGCTGCATTCCTCAACCCCCGGGGAGAAGGATGCTTAGACACTGGGCATGGGAACCACACCCTTCAGAGAAATTATAATGGCTGCAAGTGCCAGGGGCCTGGGACAGGGCCCTTCACTTGGCCATAGCAGAAATGTCTGCTTTACCTGGTCACCCTGAAGGTAAGAGGGTGCTAACAGGAGCTAACACTGGGCAAGAGATGCATCTACTGGGCGCCAGCCTGGGCTAGTTGCTTGCAAAATAAGGACACTGGTATCTTGGAGATTACAGGAATAGCCTTTACTGGGGGTTATCAAGGCTCCTTTGGATGTGACCTACCCAATGTGCCTTTAGGGGCCCTCATGAAGACACTAACATCCTTTACTGGGTTGCCTAATGATACTGGTCAATTTGGCCTAGCTAGCTTGATGAAGGACCGTGGACACAACACATGGAGGCTGAGCTGGTATCCTTCAGCATTCCCAGAACATCCCACAGAACAACAAAAGAGGAAGTGTGACTCGTTCAAAGTCAGCCAGGGATTTAAAATTCATGACTGGAGCCTGATCTTAGGATTTTAGTATGATCCTGCTTCCTTCATACGGACCTCCCAAGCACATTAGTCAGCATGTGTGACTGTAATGAAACATTTGGTGTTGATCAGCTTACAAAGAAGAAAGGTTTAGTCTGGTTCACAGCCTCAGAGGGTTCAATCCATCATGACTTGCTGCTGTTTTGGGGTTTGTGTCAGCACAATGCTTCATAACTGAAAACTGGCAGAGGAAACTTAAACTTTCTACTACTTCTCAATAGCACTCTGGCGGGGGACCAAGCCTTTAACACTTGGGTATTGTAAGAATGCATCAGATCCAAGTTACAGCACCAAGAAGGTGAGTTGCTAAAATAATTGCTAACCTGTATTTCTCAGTATTTCGTTTGTGAATGTTAATGCATGTTGGGTATCCTTTACACTGTAGTCTGAACTAGTGGTCAGCATGCTTAGCAAAAGCTCAACAAGGAACAGGGCAGTGAGATGTAAAGGAGACTTTTCTCCATCTAGCCCTGTCCAACTGGAGGTTTCTCTCTGCCTACCGGGTCCCTGCAGTCACTTATAAGATAACCACTCAGACACTTAATATATATTTATAATTGTTTGGCCAGTGGCTTAGGCTTATTACTGACTAGCTCTCTCTCTCTTTTATTAATTAATACATTTCTACTAATCTGTGTATCACCACGTGGCTGCATTTTACCAGTGATGCCCTGGTATCTTGCCTCCCCAGCAGCTACAGATTTCCGGCTTTACTCTGCTTAGCCATTGGCTGAAACAACTGTATTCAACCAATAAAAAACAAAACGTATTCACAGCATACAGAAGGACATTCCACATCAGTGACAGAAATGTAGAAATAGAAGGGGCAGTTGGGATTGAGAAGGGCTAATTGGGGAAGTATAGGGTTTGGGACCAGGAGCTGGTATAACGTGAGGTTCCCGAAGCTGTTTCGCCCCAAATAAACACACAAAGACTTATATTAATTATGAAACTGTTGGTAGTGGCTGGGGCTTCTTATTGGCTAGCTCTGTCTTAACTACTAAACCATTTCTCTCAAATGATGTATTGCCATGAGGCTGTGGTTTACCTGGAAATGCCCCGGCATGGTGTTACTCCTCAGACAGCATCACAACTCTGTGTAGCCGGCCCACTCTGCTTACCTTTTCCAGAATTCTCCTTATCTCCTAGACCTGCCTATCTTCCTGACTCATTGGCCAAATAGTGTTTTATCAATTAACCAATAAGAGAAACATGTGCCCAGAAAGACAACTCCCATCAAACTGGCATGTTGAAAACAGGCAATGGGGGGGACAAGACAATTTGAAAGCAGATAGAGAACTCAGGGGAATGGTGAGAAGGTCAATTGAAAACATTATTAGACTATCTTTCCTCCCTGGAGTTAGGAACTGGGTCTGGGGTTACTGCAGAGACCTTCCTTGCCCCTCCCCCCCACCCAAGGAGAGCTTCTTTGAACTGTGGCCTTGAAAGCATGAGGACCTGAGTTCAATCCCTAAAACCCACATAAAAAAGCTGAGTGTTAAGTCTCAAACCTTAGACTAATGGCTGAGCTGCCTATTTAACATACCAACACAGACCTGGCCACCAAGTTCTCCCAGTATCTCTCAGTCCCTACCTGTTACAGGGTATGGCTGGCATACCCTGCCCTCCTCCGACCCTAAACTTCTCCAGCCCAGGGCCTGGGCTGCCCTTCCCCCTGTGGCCCCTCCCTGTATAATCCAGGCATTTTGATTACCTTTCCTCTTTTGGGCCTCCCGGCTGCTGTACCTGGTTCCCTTCTCTCCCTCCTCTCTGTTCCTCTCCCCTCTCTTCACATGGCTCAGGACATGGCCACTCTGGACTCTCCCAGATGTCTGCCTCTGGCTATGCTTGCCCACATGTCTACAATAAACCTTTCCTCCAGCATATCTAGGTCTTTCCTTTCCTTTTATTTCTTTTTTTCATTCACTGCACACAGAAGTACACACCTATAATCCCAGCACTGAGGTGGGTAGAGACAGGCAGATCCCTGGGACTCCCTGGCTGGTCCTCCCAATCAGCAAGCTCCAAGCCAGTGAGATACCTTGACTCAAAACACAGGTGCAAAATGACTCCAGGGTTGTTTTCTGACTTCACCACGCAGGCAATGCACACACAGGTAAGTATGTATATACACACACATGCAAACGAGCATGTACACACAGGAGCTTGTACACACACAAACACACAGGAATAAAGAAAATGAGACAGTGACCTTTCCCCACCCGTGGAACTCTGGTGTGGTCGGTGGCCTTGGTCCTGCAGAGATGCTTCAGAGCCTTATCAGGAATGCCTGGGTCCCCATGAAACCCTACTATACCCAGGTTTACCAGGAAATTTGGGTAGGAATGGGGTTAATGACCTTCATCCTTTATAAAATCAGGAGTGCTGATAAAAGAAATAAAGCTTTGAAAGGCTCCAGTTCTGCACCTGCCCATGGCCATTATTAACGAACTGATCCTTGAGTCCATTCAAGAGGAATCCTGTTGCCTAAACTTAAGCAAGCTTTGTTAGATGGGAACATGGAACATCACTGTACACTTACTGAGTACCATTTACCGTGTGGCATTAATAAATGTATCTGAGCAGCAAAAAAAAAAAAAGAAAGAAAGAAAGAAAGAAAGAAAGAAAGAAAGAAAAGAAAATGAGACAGCTGAGGAGCCTCTATGAACATCTCAAGTTTTTTTTTTTAATCATTTTTTATTTGAATTAGAAACAAGATTGTTTTACATGATAATCCCAGTTCCCTTCTCCCTCCCGTCCTCCCCTACCACCCCCCAACTAAAACCCTACCTATCACATACCCTTTCTTTTTTTTTTTTAATTTATTTATTAGTTCTAGTGCAAAGTCTTCCTATGCTGGTCCTGGGCCCTTCTCTCAAGTTTTTTAGACGCCATAAGCCGGCAGTAATCTCTACTCTCTGTAATTCCTGCTCTCTGTGAAAGTTTCCGGGCCTCATCCCCAAGGTAACTAAACTTGTGTCTTTTTGTTTTCATTCATTTTTGTTGACGTCATCCACTTGCTCCTCCATCCACCTGTAACATGGAGCCAAGGGCTTGAAGCCAGAGACAACAAACCAACAAACTATAAAGAGACACTTAAATGGGTATTATTTTTTTCCCTGAGTGAACTACAGCTAACACTTTGATGACTGTCCTTCTGAATGTTCCCTCCCTCCCTCCTACCCTCCTCCTCACCCTCCCTCTTTCTGTTTTTTTTATTTTCCTGAGAAAGTCTCAGTTTTCCCACCTTGACCTTCCAAGAGCTGAGACCACAGGCATGAACCACTGCACCAGTCTTCTTGCTGGGAAGCACCTTGGACGCCCAGAGAAAAACAGGTCTGTGGACCTAGGCAGGTCCAGTTACAAGTTCATTTGCATATATTAATCCTTCTGGCTTATTTATATAAGTTACCTTGGAACCTGGTCCAAACACTCATAATTCTAGAGGACAGGCAGCCCTCCAGCTTCCAGGTACACCATGGAGCCCTGCTCAGGACTGGCTTGGCTCTGGGAATGGTGGATTCTTGTGTGCTCCACTCCATTTCCCGGACCTCTCTCCATGCAGCTGCCTTTGTTGTGGACTCAAAATGACCCTCGATGTACAGCTTCTATCTGCACCCAATCTGCTTAGGGCTGTTCTGCCATTACCACAAAAGCCACCTCGTAGTCGGGCAGTGGTGGTGCATACCTTTAAGCCCAGTATTCAGGAGGCAGATTTAGGTAGATCTCTTGTTAGGCCAGTCTGGTCTACAGAGCAAGTTCCAGGACAGCAGAAATATACACAGAGAATCCCTGTCTCAAAAAAACCAAAAAAGAGAGAAAGAAGCCACCTCGTGCCTAGCATGCTCCATTGACACCATGCTCCAGTAGGTTTCCCTGTACAGATTAAGGATTTAGAATGTTATTAATAGTAGCTGACTACTTGGGAGGCTGGGAACTTCACAGGTTTAAGGCCAGCTTGGGTAACATAGAAATACCCTCATCTAAAACTAGATAAATAGTAGTTACCACTCACGGAGCACTTTCTTCATTCCTCGCCTTCCTGTGTTATTTAATTTTCATAGACATATCCTAGGATGTTCCTAGGTCCCATTTTACAGACAGGCAGCTGAGGCACAGGGGTGCAAGTTAATTTGCCTAAGATTATCTGGCGAGACAGTTTAAAAGCCATCATTCTTCCCACTTCCTAATTCTGTGATGTCCAGGGAAAGATGGGCTCATATGTCAGTACCAGTCAGAAGTATTGCTTAGCCCACAATAGACTGGAAAAGGTCCAGCGTGTTCATGACCCCGAGTCACCTTTCTGTTTTTGAATATTGCCTTCCAGAAGACCTTGAAGGTCTCTTAACACTTCTACTGAAAGCAATGCTTATTCACTACTGGTGCAAACGGGGTCACTATGGAAATCAGTATGGCTCTACAGAGAGAAGCTGTGAGGGCATGAAGTAGGAGACCCTTACATGTCCCTCAGAGTGGGCACTGCCTTATTATATTCTGTGACCTGGGAACCCTCAGTCTCCTCACCCTGTCCTACTCTGAGGTTCTCAAGATGCCTGCACTCCCCCCCGCCCCCAACACCCACCCATCCACCCAAGTTTGTTCCTTCTCTGAAGGAATAACATAAACAAATGAGCTGGATGAGCCATCTCTCCAGCACCTTTCTTTCGGTTTTTAATAATTTATTTAACTTCATTTTATATGCATTGGTGTAAAGGTGTCAGATCTCCTGATACTGGAGTTACAGACAGTTGTAAGTCACCATGTGGGTGCTAGGAATTGAACCCAGGTCCTCTGGAAGAGCAGCCAGTGCTTGTAACCACTGAGGTATCTCTCCAGTCCTCCAGACCCATTTTTCTGTGGATGACCAAGAAGCTTGCCTTGTCCCCACATCTGCTGAATTCTGAGAAGGGGACCAGGGAGAGATCAGGTCCAGGGTCTGTCCCCTTTGTTCAGCCCTATGATGAATTGCAGTGTCTGGGCAAGGGCCATGAATGGCCTGTGTAGATCAGCCCCAAATGCTCTGTGTGTCCTGGTGGAGTAGGGGGCACATCACTGAGCGGCTCCTGAATGGGCTGGAGGAGTTTCAAAGAAACTGCAGCTGGGATGCTGTGGTGGAGTGCCTGCTTGGACTGGGTTCCATCCCTAGTACAAGACAGGGGGGGGGGCAGTATGAGGGCTTTGGCACTTTTGCAGGCACATACCCCAGAGGCAAGAAAGGAAAAAGTAAGTCTGGTGGCCTAGTGCTATCTGCTGAGACTATTCCACACACCTTGAGATGGTGAAGAGACTAAGATGGGCTCATACAGTCTTGGGCCAGGCAACTGGGCAGCCGGTCAGGAAAGAAAAAAAAATCTGCTTCTCTGAGAACAAGAGGGGAGACAGACAGACAGACAGCAGAAAGAAACATACAGAGAGATAGAGAGAGAGAGAGAGAGAGAGAGAGAGAGAGAGAGAGAGAGAGATTGACAGGGAGAAACAGATAATGAAGAAAACCTAAGGACAAAGAACCAGGGTTGGGAAGAAACTTTTGGATGTAACAGGCTGAAAAGTGGAAGCTGGGGACTGAGAGCTGAGGGCAGGGGCCACAGGCTGCTCTGCTGTGAACTACAGGCAAAGCACCCATTTGGATAAAAGGAGGGTGACAGCATTTAGATGGCTCTTTGCCCAGTGTCCCTAGGGCTCTTCTTCCCCAATCCAATGCTTTGCTATGCTGGAGATAAATGGGGATTTACCCCTCCAGAGTGGCAGCCTTTTATTTCCTTGTTTTGTTTTCTATGCTAGGGATGGGACTTGTGGCAGGCTAGTGCCCTACCACTGAGTTCTTCCTCCAACCCCACTGCACAAACCTGAGTTCCAGATAAAAACCAAAGCAATTTGCCCAAAGTGTCCAGCTCTTCCCTGCCCCCCCCCCAGTCTTAGAAGATGCCATGCCACCCACTGGCAACACCTGGGCCAGTCTCCTAGTTCCTGTCTTTCCAGTGTGGTGCCATCTGCCCAGCTCACATCAGACGCATACTTCCTTCTCTGGGCTTCTGTGATGACTCAGGTAGGTACTATACTCCTGTTTATCTTCCAGTGTGTCTTTCTCCCACAGAGGGCAAAGCTCCACAAATCTCAGATCTCCAAGGGAGCTCTATCTGAGCCTGGACAAAACAGCTGCTTTGGTGACTGTGACACTAAGCAAGGACCTTTGAGTCCTTACTAGCCTTTTAGTCAGCCTGGCTCAACTTAGGCCAAGTGAAGAGTTGACTGTCAAGCCATCCTGGGCCTACCGAGTCCTTTCTGTTTCTCAGAATCAAAGCTCCCAGTCTGCCATGAGTCTCACAGCCCACTCCTGTTTTCCTGCTCTTAAACACTGGCATACTATAAGTCCTGGACAGGTTCAAAGTACCCTGCCCTTCAGGGTCCTGAGCTTGAGCAGGGACCAAAAGTGTGTGGCACACAGTTCTCCTTGCTTGCCCCATCATTACGGTTTCTGTTAATGGTAACCAACCTAATACTGAGGCTGTAGATTAATCCCTGCTGTGTGTGAACTTGATATAAGCCGAGTCACAAGTATGTCTCTGATGGAATGTGGTTTCTTTAATTCAACATGGTTTTGAGTGTCTTCCTAATTATTGCACATAATAATTACTCTTTTCTTCCTTTTATTTTTGGTTTGTGTGCAGTGGGAGTAGTAATTTGTTTTAGAGAGAGGCCTTCACTGAGTAGCCCAGGCTAGCTTGGAACTCATGCTCCTCCTAACCTCAGCCTTCCAAGAGTTGGGTTTACAGATGTAGGAAACAAGACCCTGATACTGTAATAAACAAACAAACATACAAACAAATGAAGACTAGGGAATCCAAGGCAGCCACAAGTACATAGTAAGACCTTGTCTAAAAAAAAAAATCTGGTGTGATGATTTGGTACAAGACTGTGGGTTTTCTTTTTGTTTTTTTGTTTTTTATGGTTTTTGAGACAGAGTTTCTTGGTATTGTTTTGGAGCCTATCCTGGAGCTTGCTCTGTAGACCAGGCTGGCCTCGAACTCACAGAGATCTGCCTGCCTCTGCCTCCCGAGTGCCATGAGTGCTGGGATTAAAGGCCTGCACCACCAACGCTCTGCAAGACTGTGTTTTTTAAACCCCTGATCTTGAGAGGCTCCTTGCCCTCTTTTTTCCATGGGCTGGGACTTTAGAGAACCACTATAGGGGAAATGTTAGCCACGCCCTCTGGAGGCTGGCACAGGTGATGCAGACCACGAACACTAGGAGGTGGTCAGTGACATGGCAAGACCTTAAATATGAGGGTTGCACAAATCATGTTCCATGATTTGTCTGGTGTTGAGGACTGACTCGTCTCCTTCCAAACTTGGTCTGACTCCTTTGAGGTACGTATTATTTGCGCCCCACTTTAAACCACAATCTTGGGTTTAGTTCTCCATCCTTTTGGTTCAAGATGCAAAGCCTTGTTAATGAAGATCCCAGGTCTTGAGATGATTGCCTCCCTTTCTGAACCT